AAGTGCTCAATATAGTAAGTGCTAGATAATTAACTGTATGTGGTTTTGTTTGTTTTGGCTGTCCTGGGATCAAACAAGTGGCATTTTTCCACTGAGTTACATCTCTAGGTCTTTTTATTTTTTTATTTGGAGACATGGCCTTACTAAGTTCCTGAGGCTGGCCTTAAATTTTCAATCCTCTTGCCTCAGCCTCCAAGTCACTGGGATTATAGGCATGTGCTACCTTGAGCCCAGCAATAATTGTGTTTTGTACCTCCACATTAAAGAATGGAAAGGGACAGTGTCACAAGTGAAAAATAGTCTCCTATATAGGCAAATATTCACTTCAATTTCTGTTCTATATCATGTTCTATGTTGGGTTATAGAAATGGAAGGCACAGTCCAGTTGAAAGAGAAGATACTCTCCTTAGGCCATCCCCTCAGTTCTAAATCCCAATAAGGAGTATAGACTTTGAAAGGTTAGAGTTGAAAGCCAGCTGGATGGACCCTGAATTCAGACAAAGCCCCTCTTCCATTTAACCAGGAGAAATAGATTTATGAAAATATATTCATCCCTATGCAATGTAGCATCATCTGGCTAGATACTAGGAAACCTATTTATTCCTCAGTCTCTAACCATCTACCTACCATCCCTCTACCTGACTCCACATTTTACTTTTAAAAATTCCACAATGGCAGAAAGAGGATAAACCTTCTTGAGAAAGCCTGTGCTCCTATTCTAATGGATAAAGTAGCACCACTGAAAGCTCTTTCCAAATAATCAGACACCCAAGAATGGTTTCTCAAACTACAAACCAGAAATATGAGTTCAACTATTAGGTATCTCACTAGACTTGCCATAGAAAGGTGACAACCCTGACTTTCATTGGGGTTCCATGTGTTTAGTCCTTCAGAAAATATTTAATGAGCAACTTATATCCACCAGTCCTGAGGCATGGAGAACCTCTCAGAGTTATTGTTCCTTTGATAAAACTTTAAATAATATGTTTATCTATCTTTATTAGAATATGAGCTCCTGTCTTTTTATTTCTGTACTTTAAATGCCATAGAGCCTGACCCAGAGCAGACAATAAATACCTGTGCAGGAGACAAACACACAAACCAACAAATACCACAATGCACAGACTACTAATAATTCCAAGAATAAAGAGGAATCTTATTCCACTGTTCACCTATAAAGGCAAATATGGAAGGTAACAATGGCCTAACTAGACCATAAGACATAATGAAAACAGTCACATACACCATAAACTGCTTCTCTGGTTCCAAATCAAGCATGTTTATACCTAACACAATTTTTGTGTATTTGTTTGTGTCCATATCACAGTTTTACAAGTTCTAAATAACAACATTTCTGACATTTCTTAGACTCTTACTATATACTAGATTATTTCAGAATGCTTCATTTATGTGTATCTTCTCATTTAATCTTATAACATTTCTTTGAACTAGTTACTATTATTATCAACCTTATTTTACAGGAAAATAACAATAATAATGATAATAAAAACCTAGAGCACTAACAAATGCAGTATGTTGCCCAAGTTATACAACTATTAAGTGGCAGGCAGATTAGTACTGACACTCACACCAAAGTGTATACTTTTAAATCCATTTTTTTCTCACTACTAAGGATTGAAATTAGAACTTTTTGTTTTGCATTTTGAGACAGGGGCTTGCTTAGGGCCTCATAAGTTGCTGAGGTTGGCCTCAAACTTGCAATCCTCCTGCCTCAGTCTTGCAAGTCACTAGGATAACAGGAGTGTGCTATCATGCCTGGCGGAGCTTATACTTTTATTCTCCACTGCACATAGAATAACTTGGTGACAAACACTATGATTCTAATAATCACCATTCATATGAATTTAATCTTCTAACATTAGAGTTGAAGTTTCAAGACACACACTATTAGTCCACATTAAAAATATTAATTGAATTGCTTATCTAGCATGCACAAGGCCCTGAGTTCAACCCTTAGCACCATAAAACAAACAAAAAAATCTTAAGTGAGATCAAAGTTCTAAGAGCTAAAACTATAATAAAACTCTCAGAAGAAAACTTCATGACTTTGCATTTGGCAATTATTTCTTGGATATGAGATCAAAAGCACAGGCAACAAAACAAAAAAATAGGTAAATCAAGACTTCATCAAAATTAAGCACTTGGGGCTGAGAATGTAGCTCATGGTAGTACTTGCCTAGCATGTGTGAGGCCCTGGATTTGATCATAGCACCACAAAATAAAAAGTAAATAAATAAAAACTTTAGTGCATCAACAGAATAAAAAGCAACTCACTGAATGTGAGAAAATACTTGTAAGTCATATATCTAATAAGGGATTGATACTCAGAATACATAATAAACTTATACAATTCAACAACAAAGACCCCATTATAAAATGGGCAAGGCCAGGTGCAGTGGTGCCCACCTATAATCCTGGTACTTCGGGAGACTGAGGCAAGAAAATCACAAGTTTGGGGCCAGCTTCAGCAACTTAGCAAGACCCTGTCTCAAAATAACAAATAAAAAGGGCTGGGGATATAGCTCAGAGGCTGAGTGCCCTGGGTTCAATCCCCAGTACCATAAATAAATAAATGCAAAACTGAAACTTATACCCATTAAACAATCACTCTCCATTTCCACCATCCCCTAGAAACCACCATTCTACTTTCTATTTCTATGAATTTGACTAATCTAAGACCTAATGTAACTAAATCACATAGTACTTGTTCTTTTGTGACCGGTTTATTTCATTTAGTATAGTGCCTTCAAGGTTCATCTGTGTAACAGAATGCATCAGAAATTCCTTCCTTATTAAGACTAATTACTATTTCATTATATGGCTATACAGCATTTTGTTTATCCATTCTGTTGGTGTTTATCCATTCTGTTGGTAGATACCTGGGGTGCTTCCACCTTGTGGATATTGCAAATGCTGCTATGAGCATGAGTATACAAATATCTCTTCAAGTTCCTATTCTAAATCCTTTTGGTTATATAACCAGAAGTGGAATTGCTGGATCATACGGTAATTCTATTTTTAATTTTCTGAGGAACTACCATATTATTTTTCACAGTAGCTGTACTAATTTCTATTCCAACAGTTCAGGATTCCAATTTCTCTGTATCTTTGCCAAAACTTGGTATTATTTAGGTCTTTTTTGGTTTGTTTGTTTAATAGACATCCTAATGAGCATGTAGTGGTACCTTACTGAGTTTTTTATTTGATTTCCCTAATGGTTTTTTTAGGTGTTGATGAACCTTTATTTTATTCATTTATTTATATGCAGTGCTGAGAATCAAACCTAGTGCCTCACAAATGCTAGGCAAGTGCTCTACCACTGAGCCACAACCCCCAGGCCAGATTTCCCTAATGATTAGTGATATTGAACATTTTTTTTCATTTACTTATTGGCCATTTATATATCTTCTTTGAAAAAGTATCTATTTAAGGTCTTTGCCTATTTTTTAATTAGATTTTTTTATTGTTAAGCTTTAGGAGTTCTTTATATATATGCTGGATATTCACCCAACAGTGTAAGCACTGCTAAAGCATATTTAAGATTCACTATATTTATAAATTTACTGTATTTCCAAGAGTTAAGTAAGTAGGAATGCCTGTTTTCCAGATAATTGAAGTACTTAAAAAGAAAGAAAACACATTTAATTTACAAAGTAAATATAACAAAGTTTATAAATAAGCTTAAATATTAATTATAGTTCCTTTAAAAGTAATTGTTAAAATTTATTCCACTTTTAAGTAGAATATGGTTTATAACTTAAAATTAAAAACTTGACAAAGAATGAAGTTTAAATTATGTTTAAAAATCATATATTAGGGGCTGGGGTTGTGGCTCAGTGGTAGAGCACTTGCCTAACATGCCTGAGGCACTGGGTTTGATCCTCAAATAAATAAAATAAAGGTCCATCAACAACTAAAAAATATTTTTTAAAAAATCATATATTAATTTATTTTTGTTTTTTGGTATTGGGAATTGAACCTAGGGGCACTTTATAACTGAGCTACATCCATAGCCCTTTTTTCAATTTTTTCTTTGAGACAGGTCTTGCTAAATTGCTGAGACTGGCCTCAAACTTGCAATCCTCCCACCTCAGCCTCTTGAGTTTCTAGGATTATAGGCATGCTACATGTTAAATTTAAAAATCAAAATAGACCACATTTTTTCTGTGTTCCAAACTTTCTGCAGGCTCAGAGAGGTTAGGTTGCTTGCCCACAGGTTCAGAGGGCTCAAGATTCAGCTTTAAAGCTGTCAATAGCAATGCCTCAAAGAAAGCTAGATTTGTGCTACAAATCACTTTGGAAATACTGCAGAGAATTAAACAAATGGAGACCATCAAATATGATGTTTCTAAATGTTTCCATTTATTTGTACAATTTCATTCAACAGACACTGTTCCTGTACTAAGTGCCCTGTGCTAAAATACTAAAATGAAAGGACCTGCTTCCAGTCTCCAAGGACTTCAGAGTTCTCAATTCAGATTGTTTCCTAGGAAACCACACATGCAGGAGTAAGACACAGGCTTCACCAGGCTGGGCAGCAACTTAAATATTGAATGGTTCACTAGTCAGTGTGATTCTGTTCAAAATCTGTTCCTGACTAACACTAGACGTCCAGCTGTTCTTCTTCTATGGTGGCAGTTTAGTGAGCCAGAACACATCCTCTCCATCTAGAGAATCAGTTAAACCTTGGCTATCTATGGGAAGTAACTGCTCCTGGGTTAAAAGCTTCACAAGCTTCTTAGCCTACCACCAATTTAAGGAAATCCCAAAGATGAAAAGTTCCCAGTTTACAAAACAGATATATTAGGCATCAGAGGATTTGCTTTGTCTCACAGATTCCCCAAAGAGTTGCTTTCAGCAATGAGTGTCCCTTGGGCATTTAAATTCTGATTTTGTCTATGCTTGAAACTCAGTTCCTAAGAAACAAGAAGAAACCTGTTCTCTAGAAGGAAGTGAACTTGTGGTGCTTTTGTACTTACCATCTGGGACAGTCCCATAAGCCCTGGCAATATGGTTTAACTCCTGCATCAAGCCCTGGAAGCAGTCCTTACAGAACAAATGTTGGCATGGTAGAAACCAAGAGCCCTCATCTTGCAGGTCCTGTCGGCACAATGAGCACATCTGTGCTACAGCTTCCATGTGTCCATCCCTAGAGCAGAGTTTCTGGTCAGCTAGCGGCTGCCTCTTGAAGTTCATGAACATGTCCATGCCCTTTCTGGTGCCTCTGCCTGGGACTGAGGCTTTTCCATTGACATCCTCGGGTGTGAAGCAGCGTGTACAACGAGCAAGCTCCACTCCCTGTAAGTAAAGCAAAAAGCAGACTGATTTACCATATTTGGGAAGGAGATGTTCCTCAACAGGTCAGAAAAGCCTCAGACCTCAGAAGTCCAGGTCATGCACTTTCCCAGAGATGAAGGCTTGTGCCTCAGCCTCAACCCTGTACTTGGGTTTAGAGAATACATCATCTTTACCGTGAGGGGGAAAAAAAGCCTAGAGGTGTTTACAAGAATAGATCTTTCTGACAAGGTATGTTTGCCTTCAAGTGTCCCAGATCTATTTCTTATTGGTGGACAAGTTTGATCCAATTTTTAACTTTAGAAAAGGGTATGAGATTTATTAAGTGCCAAGTTTACACCAGGTGCTTTCTAGACTATTTCAATCCTCACAACTACCTTTGGAAATAGGGATTATTATTTTTCACAAATTAAATAAAACCACTAGGTAAAGGTTGAGGAAACTGGGGCCCAGAGAGGTGAGGTAATACACAGAGACAAATTTCAAATCCAGTCTGATTCCAAATGTCACACTGTGACCTACTGAAACATTCTCAAGCTGAGATCCACATAGCAGTTCATCAGTGCTCTCCAACAACTTTTTAAAATTAGATAATAGAGCTTTTTTAAAGTGTAAACATTCTGGATCATCTACGTATCCACCATGATACGATTTTAAGAGCAGTGTTGAGTTTATGATCTAGTTCACACTAGGCAATATTGATGATGAGAAAAGAAAGAGGCATGCAATATGCCAATGAAGTCTAAACAACATCATCACACACAATGATGAATGTTGTACAGTGTTTGGAATAGAGAAAGTGGGGAAATTAAGCCATCATTGTAATATATGTTTGCTGAACTTATCCACAACAGTAAGTGCCACATTTAAGTTGTAGTGGATTGTAGTGGCAATTTTAGCAAAATATCATCTGTATATGAAATTAATAGTTAATTTGATTGCTTTGGTTTTTAAATTTTTAGTAACTATAAATTGTATTTGGTATTATAATTGCATAAGAACTGAAACCAAAAGGAAGTGTGTCTACTTTTACATTTGTATTTATTTAAGACACAAAACATAACCACTTAATTCAATCTGGTATTCTGTAATTATGCAAGTTAAAAAAAATTTTATTTCAGCCCAAAGTTTTTGGGAACCAAACCCATTAAAGAGGAAGGGTGCTGGGACTGTGAGGGGCCAGGATGTCTGGAGTCAGAAAGATGCTACTACATAAAGTAATAGATTATCACCTACAATTCCTTCTGAGGCTCCAGGAATAGTTATTTTCCATAGAGTAGCCACAGAAGCAGCCCCAGTAGAAGTAAGGGTGGTCTTTACTAGGAGGTTTAAGCATGGCTAAAGTTTATTTCATTAGAGCATTGGTTCTCAAATATTTTGGTCTTGGAACCCCTCTTACAGTTTTTAATTACTAAAGACTCCAAAGAGATTTTGTTTATGTGGGTTATATCTATTTCTGTTTACCACATCAGAAATTAAAACTGAGAAATTTATAAGATATTAATTCATTTGAAACAATTAATCTGGGCTGGGAGTATAGCTCATAATCAGCATGTATGTACAAGGCCCTGGGTTCAATCCCCACCATCAAAAGAAAAATTAAGAGTAAATTAGTTACTTTTATAAGTAAATAAGTAAAACTTTTAACAATATCCAGGTGCAATGGCACATGCCTATAATTCTAGTGACTGGGGAGGCTGACACAAGAAGATCACAAATTCAAAGTCAGTCTCAGTAACTTAACCAATACCCAGTCTCAGAACAGAACAATAAAAATGGTTGGGGATGTAGCTCAGTGGTAGAGTACCTCTGGGTTCAATCCCCAGTACTCCCAACCCACCAAAAAAAAATAATAAAAAATCTTTAAAAATTTAATGAAACATACTTTTTAGGAAAAATAACTATTTCTTTTTTTTTTTTTTCTTTCGTGGTGCTGGGGATTGAATCAAGAGCCTTTTGCATGCAAGGTAAACACTCTACCAACTGAGTTATATCTCCAGTCCTATTTCTTAAAATAAATTTAATGAGAAGAGTGACATTGTTTTTTTCATTTTTGCAAAACTTTTAAAGTCTGATGTAATACAAGACAGCTGAAATCCTATATGGATTGCTTTTACAATCTGTTATACATTGTTTTGTTTACAGAACAGGAAGAAAACCCAGTCTTACACAGAAAACATTTAGAAAAATGTATAGAAGTATTTTAATAGTCTTTTCAGATATTTTTTTATATTCTTTGGTACTACGCAAAAAATTAGCAAGTAATAGTTTCTTACATATTAATTATTACATGGAAGCTGAAACTACCTCAGTGAACTTTACTTACTGTTAAATTAAAATTCACTGAACTATCTTATACTTTTACCCAAGCATAATTTTATATCTTATACTGCTCTTTTACCCAAGCATAATTTTATAACATCAAGAAGTAGTCCCTTGGAAAAATTATTTCACTAATATTCTAAATTCTAACACATTTTTAACACAATAGCAAAAAAAATCACATTCTTTAATATCACTTCTTTTTTTATCACTTCTAATTTCATTGGAAAATTCTTTCAGAATTAATGAGTCAAGCTCATAGAGGCAGCTAAGACTTACCAGTATTCTAATTTTTGTTGGAAGCTTAAATTTTATCATTGTCAAAATAAACTGTTTATTTTTGAAAAAATATCTGCCAAATTCCCAAGCCTGAATAACCACAGTTTGTTAGTTGTTCTTTCATGTAAAATTTCAGTTCCATGGTTGAGGAGGGGGAAGTTAGTTTAGTAAAAGTACAATACAAGTCAAAGCAAAAGTACAGTACTTTTAGATATAACAGAACTACTTTTTTCATACTTTTAATTTCTTCAAATAGAATATTAAAAAACATTTAATCAAGAATTGAGATTTAATAAAATTTTTACTTCTACATCATGGACATTCTTGAGTTAAACTAGTTTATTTTTATTTTTTTATTTTTAAGGGTTGGTGTTTCAAACTCCCAGGCCCCAGTGATTCTCTTGAAGAGTTGGTTCTATACGTACATGCCACCACACTTAGCTTAAACTAGCTTTTCTTCTTTTTTTTCTTCTTAACTACAAATGCCTAGTGAAGAATACACAGATTGGGCTGGGGATGTGGCTCAGGCAGTAGCGCGCTCGCCTGGCATGTGTGCAGCCTGGGTTCCATCCTCAGTGCCACATACAAACAAAGATGTTGTGTCCGCCGAAAACTAAAAAACTAAATAAATATTAAAAAATCTCTCTCTCTCTCTCTCTCTCTCCCTTTAAAAAAAAAAAAGAATACACAGATAAAATTACTTATACCAGTTTAATGCCCAAAGCACCAGAAGTTTTTTACATCATTGCTTTGCCACCATCAATGCAATATTAACTTAGTGGAAAGATCAAAAACATCTTATTATGAAAAAATTTTGACCTCAGGGACCCCCTCAGGTTCTACAGACCACATTAGAACTGCTGCATTAGATCTCAGAATTCAGAAAAGTGGGAATTCAGAAAAGTGGCTTGGCTTTCCACCATCAGTGAGCACTATATGGGGTAAGAATATAAAGAAAAAGGGATTTCATTTTTGTTTTAGAATAGCAATAAGTAACTCTATGAGGGTAAAGAATTAAAGGCACATCCAAGACATGAGTCTCTGATCTGAGGACAAAGGGAGAGGTCAAATAATCCCTTTCTCACCTATACCCTTCTTCTGGCTGCTTTTTACCATAACTTAGCTCTTTTTCCCTATCATGGGCAAGTGGATGGGATATAGTTTGGAAGACTATACTTAAGACCAGGGAGCAACTCAAATGCCCACAGGAGCCAGGCAATCAAATAGTGAAGTCCCCACCTAAAAAAAATTGGGTCCAGTATTGCCAAATCTTTGTTTTTCAAAATACCAAAAATCTAAATTTTTATTTGAATTTTAAAATTTTGGCAACTGTGTTTGTCAGGTTTTCATCACTATATCAAATACCTAAGAAAACCAACTTATAAAGAGAAAAGGTTTATTTTGGCTCACAGTTTTAAAGATTCCAGTTCATGATCAGATAGACTCACTGGTTTTAGGTCAGTGGTAGGGGTGGTGCCAGATGGCACTGGTGGAGAACAAGCTTACCTTGTGGCCAAGGAGAGAAAGAGAAAGAGGAAGAAGAAGAGAAGAGGGGATTAGACTCTCACAATCCCCTCCAAAGGCACACCCACAAAGGCCCAAAGACCTCCCAGGAGGCCCCACATCTTAAAGGCTCTAATCTCTCCTAATAGTACCGTGATGGGAAAAGCCAATACCACATTAATCTTTGTAGGGTCATTTAAGATCCAAACTATAGCAGCAACTAAGTAAATTTTAAAACATACCATAAGTCAAACAACATATACCAGCAGCATTCACCTTATAACCTCTGCTTTAAGTCATGGAGTAACCTGGACTAAATGAAACATCAACTGCTAGTATGGAAAGAATGGAATCCTTAGTATGGAACTGATAGAATGGAAGGAATGGGTTCTGTTCCTTCCATGGGGTAATATTAACATCTGGATATGAGGAAAGGGAAATATCTACTGAATTTCTTTAACTATGAATGAAGGAACAAATCATCCCACATCACATTGCAGGTAAGAATTTCAAAGAATATTTGTTTGGGTGGTAAAGAACAAATTATCTTCAAAATTTAGTATTAATTTTAGGGAGAAAATGTGAAGGAGAAACACTAGGTAATGAAAGAGCATCCACTCTTTGCTAGACTGTGTTGTACATGAGACACTATTTGTTTGCTTGTTTACTGTTTTTTTTAGACACAGTCCTAGGGTCCTAACCCTAGAGTGGGACTTTGTCTTTCTTGTTCATCATTATATTTGCCCCCTATTGTCTGGCACCTATGCTAGAATGTAATACGCACTCAATAAACATGTGTAAAATGAATGAGTGAAGGACTCATTATTTTTTTCATTGTTAAGACAAAAAAAACTGGGCTGGGGCTGTGGCTCAGTGGTAGAGCACTTGCCTAGCATGTGTGAGGCACTGGGTTCGATTCTCAGCATTGCATATAAATAAATGAACAAAATAAAGGTTCATCAGCATCTAAAAAAATGTTTTAAAAAGACAAGAAAACTGAGATTCAAGGAGACTATGCAAGTTTGTTCAATATAATTAAAAAATAGAATTAGGAAATGAACACAAACTTGTTTGTTCTTTCCACTTATTTAATCCCCAGAAATTAAATTAACTATTTAAGCTAGTCTTTTTTGTACTATTGAATAAACTGCTCTCAAAGATCATAGAATTTCTTTCTTCATGTTTTGATATCACATGTTTAAAGGCAAGGTTTTTCATCCCAGCTTCCAACAAAGCTTTTAGGAAAATAATTGTCATCTAGTACAATGAGTTAAAAAAAAATCTATCCACCACAAGAAATACTATTAGAAACCCTTAAGCACCAAATTGGATTATTTTTACTTTGTGCTGAAGAAAACTTCACCTGTGATCTTATGAATTTCACCCTAAATGCCATACATGAGAAACTACTGAAAAAAAAGCAAATAAAAGTTCCTAAGCCTAGAAAGGTTGAAATGGGATTGGTAACTGTACAATACTACTGGAACATAAACTGATACAATCCATTTGGACAAAAATAGCAACATAAAATGAACAATAAAAAAGGTCCATACCCTATAATCCAGCAATCTCACTCCTGGGAATTTATTCTAGAGAAGTTATTTGACATAAAAAACTATATATACACAAGTGTTCGTTGCATCCTTGTCTCTAACAGCAAAGAATACAACAAGAACAAGAAAATGACTTTATAAATTACAGTATATGCTGAAGGTAAATTACTATTCAGCTGTAAAAAAATAATTCTGAAGAATGGGTAGTATTACAGAAAAATATTATGGAATTAAATGAAAAGCAGAATACAAAAGGATTAATACACATGACCATCATCTTTGCAGATCTCTATGTCTCCATGTAAGCAAGAGCTGAAAGGTGATATTCAGAAATGAAAACAGCATTGTGCGATGGTATGACTTGAAGTATTCATACTATGATTTCTTTTTTCAGGAAAATTTTTAATGTTGTACTGTTTTTTCTATTACATATATATTTTTAAATTCTTTCTGAAATAAATTTAGAATTCTGAGTTTTTCTCTAATTCTGACTTAGAAAATAATAGAAAGTCTGGCTTTCCCCATCTTGAATTAATAGTACTCTACTTTAAAAAAGAAAACAACATAAGAACATAAATGTTCAAGTCTAAAGATGGAGATTAAGAAGATGGGGCTGGAAGCATCCAAGCTATTGTTGCAGTCTGAAGGACTGATGATGAAATCAAGAACCCTGAGAAAAAGAAAAGGGAGAAGGATCATCAGGCCCTCCTTAGGATGTAATGTGTTCCCAAGGTCACTTAAGAGAGTTCAGAGATAGAAAAAGGTCAGCACCACATTTACCTGCCTTACCAGGCTATAGCCTGGCATCATTTCTCTTCCACTCATTTCACAGGTATTTTCTGAGGCCCTGACTTGCTGAGGGAGCTCAAATACCTGATATGTCACAAGGCCATGCTCTCCTTCAGAGAAGATGTCACAGAAGATACCTCTCAGGGCTCATGTCCAAGGTCATGTCCCATGTGTCTGGTAAAGAGGATGGGTCATCTAATGCCTGATATCCCAGCTGCTATTCACTTTTGCAGATATACAACTGAACTTTGTTCTCTCAGAGCTATCAGACTTAGGGAAACTGACCCATACTGAACATGAGCCATGTTTTAAGTCACACTGTTCAGCCAGGTGGCTTATAGAACAGGATGTAGCTCTTCTATAGCCAAGGAACTTGGCAAATTACTTAGAAACAGTGTCCTAGCATCCAGAACTCTACCTCTACCCTTTGCACAGTCTTGATCCTTGCTCTAGGCCCCACTTATAATATACCTGAAGGTTAATTTCCATTCCCACTGTTCTGCCCAGCTTACCTTCATTGACAGATCATCTTCTCAAAGGTAGTTTCTGAGTAGCTCAATTCATATCCTTGAGTACTTATAGGCCAGTTTCCATGTCAAATAGAAGATGATCTCCTTTTAGATCTTACCCTCCTACTCCCAAGACTCCTCTTTCTGCTGGTCACAGGCAGTATATGATTAAGTTTGAAGGAGTGATGAATACCATAATGCTGTGAGGTCAGAGAGGGAGTGGTCATTGAGGTAAAAGCAGACCCAGGCTCTATATCTTACCAGCTGTATACTCTCCAGCAAGTAACTCAGTTCTGTGCATTTTTTTTCATGCATAAAATGAGGCTGGTAGAGCTGAATTCTCAGGCAGATGCATTTGTGAATTGCAAAGTGCTTTGAAAATGTTGGGTCTATTATTGTGGACTACAGTGGGGAAGAAGTAGAATGTAGGATGGCGCTTAAAGATTGAGGAAGATTCAGGCTATGCAGTCAGGAAGAGAAAGGACATCCCAGGCATGAGTAAAGGCAAAATGGCGACAGAAGTAAAGTATGCCTGCAATAGAAAACTTGTTGAGGTGAGAATCAGAGGTAAGGTTGGAAAGGTAGGTAGGCTGTATTCTATTGCTATTAGGGAATCACTGAAATTTTTGATCATATAAAAGAATGACAGTTATGTTTTGGGAGTACTAAGCTGATAGAAGATGTAAAGGATAGAGTTTGGCTGAGGGTTAGAATGCAGGTAATGTGATCACAGAGTGGTTTGAAGACTCCAAATAAGAAGATGAGGAGCTGGGTTGGGATTGTGGCTCAGCAATAAAGCACTTGCCTACCATGTGCAAGGCACTGGGTTCGATCCTCAGCACCACATAAAAATAAATAAAATAAAGGTATTGTGTCCAACTACAACTAAAAAAATAAAAAAGGATGAGGAGCTGAATGAAGACAGTGACTCTAGGGCTGAAGGAGGGAGTACATTTGAGAGATATAGAATTAAAAGGATGGTAATAGTGTATAAGAGCAAATAAGGGCTTGGGAACAATTTTTCAGGCCTGATCTCGATGGACAATGATGTCTCTCACCAAGATAAAGAAATAAAGAAGCAGAGGTGGGTTTGTGGCTCAGCAGTAGAGTGCTCACCTAGCACTTGCGAAGTGCTGGGTTCGATTCTCAGCAATGGAATATTACTCAGCAGTAAAAGAGAATAAAATTATGGCATTTGCAGGTAAATGGGTGGAGTTAGAGAAGATAATGCTAAGTGAAGTTAGCCAATCCCCAAAAAAACAAATGCCAAATGTTTTCTTTGCTATAAGGAGGGTGATTCATAGTAGGATAGGGAGGGGGAGCACAGGAGAAATAGATGAACTCTAGATAGGGCAGAGGGATTGGAGGGGAAGGGAGGAGGCATGGGGTTATTAATGATGGTGGAATGTGATGATTATTATTATTCAAAGTACAGGTATGGAAGATACAAATTGGTGTGAATGTACTATGTATACAACCAGAGATATGAAAAATTGTGCTGTATATGTGTAATAAGAATTGTAGGGCTGGGGATGTGGCTCAAGCAGTAGTGCGCTCGCCTGGCATGCGCTGGGTGCTGGGTTCGATCCTCAGCACCATATACAAATAAAATAATGATGTTGTGTCCACTGAAAACTAAAAAATAATAATAATAAAAAAGAATTGTAATGTATCCCACTATCATATATAAATAAAAAATAAAAAATTTAAACCATATAAAATAAATAAAATAAAGGCATTGTGTCTAACTACAACTAAAAAAATATTAAAGAAAGAAAGAAGCACTAGTGAGCAAGGAAGAGTGAGTTCTTTGGATATATTTATCTGTAGAATCCAAGGGATGCTAACCAGTAATTAAGTGAATGTATGGGTGTAGAGCACAGCAACAGAAATGTGAATTGAAGTCACATGAGGTGACCAAGTACTGTGAAAAGGTAAGTTGGAAAAGGACAGAAGGCTGAGGAATCTCGGCATTTAAATGGTGGACAATTAAGCCCAGCATGGTGGTGCATCATGCCTGTAACACCAGTAATTCAGGAAGCTGAGGCAGAAGCATTGCAAATTTGAAGCTACCTCAGCAATTTACCAAGGCCCTAAGCAACTTGGTGTAACCCTGTTTCAAAAAAAGAAAAAGAGGGTCTGGAGTTGTAGGTCAGTGGTAGAGCGCTTGACCAGCACTGTGTGAGGCGCTGGGTTCGATCCTCAGCACTACATAAAAAAATAAACGAAGGTTAAATTAAAATATATATTATATACAAATATATATATTTAATAATTATATGAGCTATGTACTAAATTGTGTGGCAGTACACGTGAGCAAGTAAGCAGCTATGATAACTGGTAGAAGTTTCACAAAGGAAACGCTTGTATAGGATGCAGGTTGAACGGGGTTATCTGGTTCGGAAGAGGAAGGAGTCGGGGGCATCCCAACCAGGTTCCAGAAAAAATTCACATGTGGCGTTTAGAAAAAGCATTTACAATGTCTGGATCCCCAAAGCATAGTGGTTGTTTAAACTTGAGGTGACATCGGTGACGACAGCAGAAGGGCAAAGTAAGTGGGGCAAGCGGCCACTCGGAAGGATGGCCGGCAAGTCCCTGAGGCGGTAGAGGCTCTGCAGAAGCAACTCCCAAGAGCTGCGAACAGGTGAGCACACTGAAGGCTAGACGGCGCCTCGGGCTCCACACTGCGGCCGAGGAAGCCACCAACCACCAGGCCTGAGCAGAACGTTAAGAGCCGGGGAGAGGCTCAAGGCTGGGGCTTTCGGCCAGGCATCGAGAGATAAAGAGGTCCTCCCTGTCAGTCTAGGCGGTACCCGGGCCAGGGCGCCAGGAAATGGCCTGGCTCACCTTGGTCGCAGCGGTAAAGCACCCCAAGCCCTAGATTCCTCTACAGTTTTCAGCATCCGAGCCAGATGCAACCGGCGGCACCAAGAAGAGTTCCCCGCTCAGACCACCAGCACTTCACTGTGAACAGAATTAGCCGCAGAATGAGGATGCTACCGGCGGGAGTCAGAAACCCGCGAGACCAATGAGGTCCCGCCCGAGGCCCGCCTCCTTGCCGGAAGTGAGGCAATTGGTCCCGCCCCCTACTTTCGATACCTCGCGAGACTTCGCTGAGGCCTTCCTTTTTCGTCTTAGCCGCCGACATGGTAGGTGTTTCTTTTATGGCCTCCGCTTTCTTGCAGCCAGACACGCGGAGATCTACTCACTTTGCCTCCCAGCCACATAATCTAGTTTTCCAGATTGCGCGTGGCAGGCCGTAGGGCAGAATGGCTGTCGCGGACCTGGGGCGGGGATCCTGGTGCAGCGTGCTAGGCCCAGGGTTCGGATCTTTGAGACACGAGGCCCGGAGCGCCCTGGCGCCGCCCTGATGAAACCGTCGGGCCAGCCAGTAACCTCATCCTTGCCGAATGCGCCAGCACTCAGGCCCTTGTTCCCAGTTCTGCAGGCTTGTCTCAAACTGGCAAGCATTATTCCCAACCCTTCTTATTTAGGCTTGATCAATAAGCTCCTTTTCCCACGCAGCCATCCAGACTGAGGAAGACCCGGAAACTTCGGGGACACGTGAGCCATGGCCACGGCCGCATCGGTAAGTTTCTCCTGCTCGGCTTAGAAACTAACGTAGCGTAGAAGTAAGACTTTTGCGGTTGAGTAGGGATTGAATTGAACAGATGTTCACTTTTTTCTCCTCCTATTTAAGGATCTTCTGGTATTCCAGTTTTAGAGAATGTTTGTAGATAGGAAACAGCGTGAGCGGCGCAGAAGTGGGGAAGTTCTCCGCTTGGCTAAGCGGGATTGAGGGGTTGGAAAAGGTTATGTGAATCCTGTAGCTTTGTATTCCTGCAGGCAAGCACCGGAAGCACCCCGGAGGCCGGGGTAATGCTGGTGGCATGCATCACCACAGGATTAACTTCGACAAATAGTGAGTGTTTCTTGATATTGTTTTTACACAGTATATAAAGCCAGCCTAGAACATCGGTGGAAGCTGGCCTCTTAAAAACTTTGTCTATTACTGGCTTTGCCGAGTTAACTTTTGATGATGTGAACTGAGAAACCATCATCGAGGCTAGAGTCACGCTTGGGTATTGGCTGTTGCCTTAGTGTGCTAGAGTCCTCGAAAAATAACTGCTGACCTTATTCACTGGCTGTGGGCTTCATGGCACAGCTAGTCACCAGGTTAGTGACATTAGATTCACTTGTATCCATGGATTAGGGAATGATGTATTTGACTGTATCTCTAGGGGACCTCTATTAGAAAAGTGTAGATTTTTCTATAGAATACTATCAAATGAGCTTTTTAATGAAGATGGTTTGGCCATTTCTTTCCCAGTCACCCAGGTTACTTTGGGAAAGTTGGTATGAGGCATTACCACTTAAAGAGGAACCAGAGTTTCTGCCCAACTGTCAACCTTGATAAATTGTGGACATTGGTCAGTGAACAGACACGAGTAAATGCTGCCAAAAATAAGACGGGAGCTGCTCCCATAATTGATGTAGTCCGATCGGTGAGTAAATTGGATATTAACTAAAGTCCCTTTGTCCTTAAAAAATTCGAGGTACGATACACTTAAATGTCTCCTATACCTCTCTGATTACCTGCTAGAAAATACAACCTTTTGATAGAATTTGTCATGACCAGAACGGAATTATTCCCCATTCTTCTGTCTTGGGTGCATTTTTGCTCTCAATAGTAAACATTCAGAGAATGCATATCTATCACATGTCTTGATTGTATTTCTGGGAAAACCTTTGGAGAGTAATGGTTCCTCTCAAATTAATTTCGATTAATTTTTGCTTGAATGTCTTCCTAATTTGTACTGCCATTGCCCTGCTTTTTTTTCTTTGGGGTTTCAGAACCTTCTGTTAGTCTTTAACTTCCATGAACATGGAAGTAATCTTTAAGGAGGCCCAAACCCTAGGGAGATGTTCAGGTAACTTTAAATTCTTGTTTCCAGCCTATTTAATGCTTTTTGAGCAATTTTGGTAGTCAAGACTTTGAGCATTGCTGGGAAAATATCTTTCCTTTTTACTTAATAGGGATAATCAAACATAACGTGGAGGTCTGTGCTTTGCCGAGACTAGAGTCACATCCCGACACAGAACTTGTCCTGGTGTGCTACAGTTCTCGGAGAGAATTTGCTGGTCTTGATTCACTGGGGGGGACAATTAATGTCCCCATTAGTGCCCAGATCAGAAACATAGTCTACCTGGGACTTAAAAGTTAATGTTGGCTTCTCTCTGTGCCCCAAGAAATTGGTACATGGCATGATGTGTTATAAATCTTTTTCTCTTCTAGGGTTACTACAAAGTTTTGGGGAAGGGAAAGCTCCCAAAGCTGCCTGTCATCGTGAAGGCCAAATTCTTCAGCAGAAGAGCTGAGGAGAAGATTAAGGGTGTCGGGGGTGCCTGTGTTCT